TGTCTCAGCCCTCCACAGTGCTGGGATTACAGGCATGAGCCACTGTGCCTGGTCCCCAACATCAGCTTTTTATTCATGACCTTCTTCAATCTAATATTTAACTATTTTCAGCTTTCTTGCCATGATTTCTTATGGTTAATTAACCTTGTCATGAATAAATGTTGATGCTTTTCCAGGTATTGCTTCTCAGTTTGAGTTCCCCAACACAGAATTCTGTTCACTCTTCAAAATCCAGCTCAAATTAATGAAACCAGATATAGTTATTGTATGTCTTACTATACACTTCGTTGAAATCCTACATTTTTCATAAAGCTTTCCTTGATTAACTCGGCCAAACAGAAACCATAATGTCCAGGGCTTAACACAGTATCTGGCACATACCCTTGTTGGGGCTCAGAAAATGATACCCCAAAGTATGGTGCTTTGGCATGCTGAGTTCTTTTGTCAGAGGTGTTCGAACCAGAGCGACTCCGTCTTGAATACAGGTAGGTAAAATAAGGCTGAAACCCACTGGGCTGCATTCCCGGGAGGTTAGGCATTCTGTCAGGATGAGATAGGAGGTCAGCACAAGATACAGGTCACAAAGACCTTGTTGGTAAAAGGATATGGTTGACCAAAACCCACCAAAATCAAGATGCGATGAAAGTGACCTCTGGTCATCATCACTACTCATTATATGCTAATTATAATACATTAGCATGCTAAGAGACACTCCCACCAGTGCCATGACAGTTTACATAAGGCATGGCAACGTTGGGAAGTTACCCTGTGGTCTAAAAAATGGAGAAACCCTCATTTCCAGGAACTGCCCACCCTTTTGCTGGAAAACTCAAGAATAATCTACCCCTTGTTTAGCATATAATCAGGAGATGACGTAAAAGTGGCCAGCCAGAAGCTCTCAGGGCTGCTCTGTCTATGGAGTAGCCATTCTTTTTTTTTGTCTTCCTTTACTTTCTTAATAAACTTGCTTTCACTTTACTCCGTGGAGAACCCTCTCCCAGGGTTGGATTCCCACTTTGTGTTTTGTTTTCTTTGTTTCTTCTTCTTCTTTTTTTTTTTTTTTGAGATAAGGTCTTATTCTATTGCCCAAACTGGAGTACAATGACTTGATCACTCACAGTTTACTGCAGCTGCAATCTCCTGGCTCAAGCTGTCTTCCCACCTCAGCCTCCCAAGTAGCTGGGACTACAGGTGCATACCACCACACCTGGCTAATTAACAAACAGACAAACAAAAAAATGTTTTGTAGGAATGGGGTTTCATCACATTGCCCAGGCTAGTCTCAGACTTCTGGGCTCAAGTGATCCCCCTGCTTCAGTTTCCCAAAGTGCTGGGATTACAGGAGTGAGCCGCTGCACCTGGCCCTCATGCCAAGTACTTTGAACTAAAGGAGGCTGGAAAGCCTGAGAAGCAAAGTATCTCGCTGAACTTCTGTCCTGCTGTCTCCCATCCCTCTTACTCACCCTAAGCTAGTCATAGAAACCAGAACTCCTCTCCCCACAAAGCAAGCCATGAAACCAAGAAGGGTCACTCTCTCCCTTCTCATTTGAAGACTCTCATTCCAGAAAAGTCTGCTCTATACCTGGGTGGAAGGAATGTTACACAGAAAGGTGAAGAAGAATCTGAACAGACAGGCCTTGCTGGGTTTCCACACTCAGTCTATTACTATTAGTTCATTCTCTTTTTGTACACTCACATTTCTACATAGATGTCCACTCTTTGTTGAATCTAAGCATACAAATGGACAGCTTTCTCTGGGTCTTTATTTCTGAAGACTCCTGTGTCACGTAAGACTGCCATTAAATTTATTTGTTACACTTTTCTCTTGTTAACCTGTCTTTGTTGTAGAAGCGTTGGCCATGACCCTTATGTTGGGTGAGGAAATGTATGGAGTGCAGGGGCATGATCATGGCTCACTGCAACCTCAACCTCCGGGGCTCAAGTGAACCTCCCACTTCAGCCTCCTGAGTAGCTGGGACTGCAGGTGTGCCGTAGAGACAGGTCTCGCTATTTTACCCAGGCTGGTCTCAAACTCCTGGGCTCAAGGCATCCTCTCACTTTGGCCTCCCAAAGTGCTGGGATTACAGGTATAAGCCACCCTGCTGGGCTTCTGATAGTTTTAAATTTACAGTTTACAGTGTATTTCACTTTAATACATTCCTTATCTAAGATTGCCTTTGAGGTTTAAAACGTTCGAAGTTAATACCTTACATTGTACGTGCCTCTGAAGGTATCTGTAAATGATAATGTCCCATGTAATTTATTATTTTTGCATTCCCTTAGAGGCAACATTTTATATAACAGCTGTCCAAAGGCCTAAGGCAGAGGATGCAATACTGGGTCTCACAGTATATGAGGACTTTCTCAAATGGGAAATGAGCATGGAGGCCGTTCTCAGGCAGTCAGTTCTATCCTCATTTTCCTGGAGTAGAAGCATCCCTAAAATTGACCTGTCCGAAAAATGTATCCTTGGGTCAGGGTGTAATGTGGACTCTTTTCCAGTCTCCTTTATTCCAATGACCTCTACCCTACTTTACAAAAGAAAGGCATAATTCTTCCTTATGCTAAATCTTAGTAAGGTGCAATACCCGGGTATGCAAAAATCTCCAGGACACCAAAGAAAGGCACAATTGACTGGTGAATAAGAATGAGTAACACATCCTTTCACAAGTCAGGTGGTTTTCAGTTGCTTGCTTTCAACAAGTTGAAAGAGAACCTAATCAGAGTTGTCAGCTGACAGATCATTAAAAGTATTTTTTCTTTGTTAGATCTTTATGCGATTTTTGGGCATATAATTTGAAAGGCATTCAAAGAATTGTGTGGCATTACTATAACAAAACTCCATTCATTCTCATCTGCTTTTTTATGCGAACAAATTTTCTCAATACTTACATCCATGGAATTGAAAACTTGGAAGAGAACTGATGCTGAACTGTTTCTCAAAAAAAATCCATCCATTGAAGGTCATAATGTATATTAGAAAAAAGTCCACCCAAGTTCATTTCTGCAAGATGCATTGACAATAAAATTTTGCTTTTGTGTTTAGTACTTACAAACATTTGAAATAGATGTGTTTTGATCAGTTGAAATAAGAGCTTTATGATCACAGAAAATGTAAAAAACAACCCAGATACTTCAATTTATGTACACATTTTTATTACAAGGAAATGTGGTAAGACAACCAAAATAGAGTTCAAATATAAAATATATTACTAGGATAAAATTCTAGAGGGGATATGGAACGTCAATATGAGTTCCAGAAGACAATGTTTGGAAATTGTATTTTCCAAACTGCATTTTTTAAAAATGGATATTAGTGGGTATTAAATCCCTACGGTATTTAGAATCCA